TATAGTAGAAGGGACGCCATTGTTGCGATAATGGAAAAATTGCTACGTGAGATCTTGGAATAATAGTTCATCTAGCATTTTACATCAGAGTTGTATAATGGTTACATAAGATGTTTAGTGGATTTGATACTCAACATTTTTTTTTTCCTTTTTCAAGATCAAAAAAATCAATAAAATGATTTCGTAGATTCTTCACCCCCTTGAAAAGAGACTAATATTAGATATTCTATGTCTTGTCTTTTTGGTTGAGTGTATTTTATGCTTGATGTAAAGTATTCATTTTCCGTGAATGATACATGCTCAATTCCTTCCTCTATGACTAAATGTTCCCAAATCTGAATATGTTGTGCTTCTCACTGTAGAATAGAGCAAGTGCAAATGCCTTTTCGTGTGGAAACTAAGAAGCTTTAAGAGATCTTGAACGTTTTCTGATATATGGAATTTTTTACAATTAGAGGGAGGGTCCACTAATTTTACATATTTGACAGAAATGGAAACATGTTCAACTTGTCTAATAATTAAATCATTTCCAAAGATGGCCTTTTGCAATCTTGTATTTTTTCCCCCTAAAAACCATTTTGGATTTTACATTATCTTCTTCTTACGCACGGATAGTCTCCAAACATTTTTGATTGATGAGTTAAACATTGAAGAGCTGATTATGAGATCTTTGTGCAACTCGATTGATTTATTGACTTAAAGACTTTTTTGCTTGTTATGAGATCTTTATGCAACTCCAACCATTTTGCATTTGAGTTTTTATTACTTTTTTTAATTTTTGCCACTTTTTTAAATTTTCGAAACTTCCACCCTATAGGGGCGTTCCCCGTGATTATGTAATGGAATTGAAACATAATCACAAAGAGATAACGTGCAGAAGAAATTCATCTATCTTTTGATAAAATTTTAGGTTTTGATTGGTGTTTGTCACTTTTTTAAGTGTTTATTGTCACTTTTTTGAATTTTCGTCACTTTTTTTAAATTTGTATCACTTTCCAACTTATAAGATGTTGTGTTTTTGAAATGAAGTTATGTTTTATGTTTAGTTAATACAAGTGAAGCATAACCACAATGAGACAACATGTAGAAGAAAATCACTCACACCATGGATCCATTCATAAGATTGGCGTTTCTGTGCATTTGAGCCACATTATTTTAGAAGAATATATTTTAGAATAGTAGATTGATGGAGAATCTGTGGTTGAAAAAGAAGGAAAAGTTATTGATGTGATGGAAAATATTATTTTATTGAAGGATATGTGGTTGAAAATGAGTAGAAGAATGAGAATGAAAAAAAATAATGTGGATCAAATAGGGACTCATTTGTTTGAGTGTTTGTCACTTTTTAATATCAACACTTTTTTAAAAAATTTCTACATGTTTGTCACTTTTGGATATTTGTCAATTTTTTAAGTCACTTTTTTTAATATAGCCACCTTTAAAAAAAAGTGAACAAGTCACTTTTTTTATTTGTTGCCTTTTGGAATATGTGATAAATGTTTGAAAACGTTTTTTGAATAATAATATTTCAGTTTCTCTTTATTTAGTGGATTTCAGTATTTTTAACGATCTGTCAAATGAAATTTGAGTAACACCCATTTGTATGTTACGAAGAAGATCTTTTTATTATTATTCACATTTCCGTCTTGTGTCATCCTCCTTGACATAAAGTTCAAAGGTCTTTACTTAAATCGTTTATTTTATTTGATATACAATATTTGCATGTCATAGGGTGAATATGATGTTCTCTTTTAAGTGTCACTTTTTTAGAAGTGACTATTAACTTTATACAATATTTATTTCTATTAGTAATAGATAATATTGAACATAACAAAGAGTGGTTGAACATAACGTGTATGACCTTAATTGTCGGAGTGGTAGTGAAGGAGTGGTTGAATTTTGCATAGAATGATATATTTTAAGGTTATAATTAATGTTTTGTCACCTTTTTTTTTAAATTTATGTCATCTTTTTTAGTACATCACTTTTTTAATAGCTTTTGTCACTTTTTTTTGGTCACTTATTATTATTTTTTAATTTCTATCACTTTTTGAGTGACAAAAATTACTTTTTAATAAAAGTGATATTTAACTTTATACAGTATTTTTCACTTTCAAAAAGTTTTTTTTATATGATTAATGGGTTAACTGAGTTGGTAGATGACGGTGGTAGTGAATTGACTTAGGGGGTGTTCGTTTGGAATTTTTGGGGGAAGAATTGATTTTTGAATAATGATATGATGGGAAATGTGTGTTTGAAAAAGAAGAAAAAATTATCGATGTGGTGAAAAATATTAATTTATTGAAGAATATGTGGTTGAAAATGAGAATTGATTTACTGTAGAATTTGAGAATCCCAAACAAACAAGCTCTAAAACTTGTTTACTTGTAAGCAAAAATCTTTATCTCACAAGCTGCCAAGTTTTACATTTTCAGAGAAGAACATTTGGATGTCGTGACGTTCCCTAGAAGACAAACAACGAGAAGGCCATTATAGACCAACATTATATATAGAGAACTGAGTCAGACGTTCATATAAGTTATAATAAAAGATCATCTTAACTGCTCCACCAGAACACCAGGTACATGTTAGACCTAGTTATCTAGCTAGGAATGGCATAATCCTGCCATCATCATAGAAGAATCAGAATGTCTCCCAAAGGAGCATAAAACAGGAAAAATATTTTTTCTTGAATTCTGCAGTCGGTCATTTCAGTTAACAAGAGCGAATATAAATTTCTAGACAACTAAAGAAATTTAAGTCACGTAAAATTAAAAATTCCGTATTCAAGTATAAAAGGAGAAGCCATACACACCTGCCAATACATAAATGCTTGTACAATGTTGCGCTGCCACCTGTATGGTTAAGAAATAAATTGAGGAGGTAACCTTAACAATTACGTACGCATTTTTTTTTTAATAAGAATCAGAAGTTCTAAAACAAAAATCATCAAAGCCAGAAAAATGTATAGGGAAGCAAAGATACTGACGAGAAAAGAGAAAGAATCAGAAGAAATCCAAGTCCAATCTCAGCTTGTGAAGACAAAATGCTAAGTGTTGTTGTATTTGAATCAACCCAAACACAGGCATCTTCCAAGTATTTCCTGCAGAATGACAGAATCCAAGATTAAGTCGCAGACGTGAAAGAAGGAACTTACATGGCAACTAATAAAGCATCTAGATCAATTTAGTCACTATCAACCTCTCTACTTGTCCTACAAAGGAATGCATACAACTAAAACTATGATATCAAATAAAACTGTATGTTGGTTCATGAAAATTTTTCTGTCTGCCCTTTTTTAGTTCAAGTAAAGACCACCATCAGTCACATGTAAATGTCCTTAGCAGCATATATTGCAAGGATCAGACACTTCTCACTTAGTTGAAAGTAG